TAGTTGATACATATAGTGAATTCACATTCCATAATTATTATTTTCCAAATAAAAAACCGTACTTGAATTCATATTTGGTATGAAAAAGATAATTTTGTTCTAGTGCATAGATATAGAAAATAATGATATGTAGATTCATTTCGTATAAATGAAAAATATATATAAGTTTGAAGAATTAAAAATAAATAATGGACGTGGAATCTCGACAAGAAGACCGTTGTGAAAGTATAAATGGGTACAAAAGACTTTTTTGTGTGGTAGACCATTTGCTATTCCCCTTTGGGGTTCCCATGTGAGCCTCAAATTTTGGAGCCTCTCGTATGATCTTACGTACGTGTCTTTTCTTGATTAAGGACTATTGTAATATCTATGTCTTCAATTTTTATACTCCCTCCGTTTCAATTTAGTTGTCGTTTTAGGATTTAAATTTTGTTTCATAATAGTTGTCGTTTTAGGTTTTCAATGCAAATGTTTGGTGAAAATTCCAATTTTATCCCTATTGTTTTAATGTTTTGGCCAATGAAATTTTTTATAAAATATATTAATAAAAGGTAAAACAGAAAATTTAATGTTTTTCTTAATTTGTGTGCAAAAACCTTAAACGACAACTAAAACGAAACAGAGGGAATACATGCTAAATTGCTAATTCAAATATATTAATCCTATTTACACAATACAATATCCAAGTTTTGCAAGAAAAAATAACAATAAAACTAATTATTGTAAGCTCCCATTGACTGTAGAAAAAAATGGTGAACTTACTTGATGTTTGCAAAATTTTCTTTGATTGAAGAAATCTTTAAACATTTGACGGAAGTATGTTTTTTATTGTATCTTTAACGTAAAACATTTTGTAGGCTAAATATTATATATATATAGTATAACTCTGGTTTAGATTACCAAAAAAGAAATTGTTAGATTCAAAATGACTTTTGTAAATTTGTGTAGCAAAATCACGAGGCCAAAATCTTAGGTGGAACGGTACGATTCAGAAAATTTGATTTTGATTTCAGATCCTTATAAATATTTTGTTTGTTTTCTAGAGTTGCGAACTCTTAACCTCAAAATGAGTATGCCTCTTTAATGTTTGGGTTTCTTAGTAAACCAGAGTTTTTTTTTTTTTGTTAAAGGGTTTAGTAAACCAGAGTTGTATCCCACTCTAGCAAAGGGAAATTTTACCCGACCAGTTTCTACTCTCTAGTATAATTCATTCCCATTATTATCATTTTTTTTTTTTTGCATGTTATAATCATTTGCATTAAGTTAAATTTAGTTTGATTATAATTGCTTCGGAATGTTCCACTTCTCGTAAAAAATGTTTCAAGGCCACTAGAAGTTGGGCCTGTCTCGTTCAAGAGGCCTAATCCATGCCGTGACTTATAACGTGCACCAATTTGTTAAGGATTTTCAATTGAAGTTGATGGGGTATAGTCTCTAAAAAGTAGAACCTCGGAAGTAAATTAATGATGTTATTTTTTTTTCTTATGATCAATCAAGAGAGGATCAAATAATAATGACTATTAGTAGAGCAGAGATAAGTTATAATTTTATTTTAGAAAACAACTTATTTATTGAACATAGCACAATTTCCAGATACCCTGGAAAGAAAATGATGAACAAAAAGTGGTACAGGAGAACTAAGATTTTAAGAGACGAACCACAAAATCGAAAAAGCTAGAGTAGAAAGAAAGTTAGCTAGAGTGCACAACTCAAACAATGCATTATTAATGAGTCTCTAAATAAGATTCACTACTTAAACTTGACTTTGGTTCTCGACATCCTTGTTGATTTGATCTTTTGGATCAGTTATGTTTTGGCTCTTGACCTCAGTAACTTGAATTTGAGTCTCCGGAACATTGTGAATAAGAGGCGGTTGATGAACTGCTGAATCCGAAATTGGACCGGGTGTGACGGTGGTTAGCTTTGCTATGTCGATAGAATGATCGGACACGGCTTTAGATTTGTCTGTCTTCTGAGCCATAGGAATTTTGTAGTACTTAAAAATTATGTAGAGAATCATTTGAACAGCTCCTAAGAACGCGCCCAACACATTTGGAAGCTTCAATAGTAAACAAATATGTGTAAAGGACATTAATATTCCATTTCTTGTCGACAAAAGAAGTTGGCAAAGAAAAATAACAAATGAAAATTTACCGACATCACAACATAACAAATTAGATTTTTTGTTTTTAGTATCCTATTGTACTCTCAATTTCTTAGCACATTTAGTGGGGGTCTAATTATTATATATATATATTTTTGAACTAAAGCTTGTTTTCATTCCATTAGTGGGGGACATTAATATTTATATAATGCTAGTAATAAAGTGAAAAAATGTGTACGGTTCAAAATCATATATTCGTTGCCACGACATTCATATTAGACTAAAAGCCTTTACGTATATAGTTTGAAATGAGGAAAAAAAGACAAAGGTAACTACTGTTTTTACTTTATTAAAGAACCACCCATAATAATCTAATCATATAATGTTTTGCTGTCCTTTATGCTTAGAAATGATCGGAACAGAATAAAATAATTGAGAATTTTGTATAAATAAACTCACCGCAACGTAGAAGTCTTTAATAGCGAGACCGTAGAAGAGCCACGTGACGGCGCTAATTGTAAGAAACAACGATAAAGAGAAAGGCATAAACTCCACACTTCTTGTTCGTACCACCACTCTCTGCACCAAAAATAGTAGTTTCTAACTTTTTTAATATCCCCAACGTGAAAACTATGTAATATAAAGCAATGACAAGACATACTATACATTAACTGCAGGAGTATTTATTATGTTCTTCATAGGTCAAATTATGTAAAACATGGCTCGTTCGTATTTATAAATGTTCCTATATATATATATGCATGTAATAGAACGTACCATGATACTCAAAGGAGCTGCGAAGACACTGACGGAAAATCCAACGCAAATCCCTCCGAGAACTTTCTCACGTGTCGAACCTTCGGTTAAGAGCTCGCAGACAAGAACAATGGCAGCAAAACCCAAAAAGTTCAAGAGACCAAGAACTTTCAAAGTGGATATCTGCAACATCGTTTCAAGCATCTAATTATGAGCAAACCGGATACAAAAGCATTTTACGTATGTGTATCTGCATGTTTATGATCAACGTGAAAGCTACGATAAAAGTATATATAGGTATTAAAAAGGTGTTTCAACATACTCTAGTTTTCTTGTTAGCATAGGTTACAAAGAGGACGATGTAGATGGTTTCGATGACGCATCCAACAGCGTTTATGGTGATGAGAAGGAAGCCTGAGCCATCCTTTTGCATAGCGTAGTAAATCCAAAGCATCGCGCTAAAAAGAGCTGAAACATAGGGAAGAGACTGAAATCCTTCGGTTGATTTCTTCTTGCATATCCGTACAAACGTGGGCCTAAATAATATGAAAGAAAACGTTTAATTATTTCTAAACAACGACAAATAAAACAGACTTGGTGAGAACATGTTGATACTTACACTGGGGCCAAGAACACGACGAATGATATGATGTTACCTGCAAATTTACAACGTAGTAAACATTATCAGTTTTAAAACGTAATTCAAAATGTTGGTTGAGTTTGCTAGTATAAATGATGCATTGTTTTGTGAATGCTTATGTATATGTATATACACACGTACCCATGATGCCGAACACAAATGCCCATACATTGTGAGTTAGAGCCATTTCTTTCTGGTTTCTGGATTATTTTTCTCTGCCTTAATTTGTTTGGTCGGACTATCGAAAAAACTTATGAGCGGGGAAAAAAGTATCGAAATCAAGAGTATGAGAGAGAAAGAGCTCTTAAAGCCTCTTCTAACTCTTGAAAGCCAAGCTCTAGTTTGTGAGTTTTAGCTATGAATTTACAATGCCAATGATGGAAGATATATATAGAAGGTTCACATGTGAAAGGATGCAATGTTAGTACGTTTTAGACGACATCGTTTACAGACGGTGAGAGAATTAGGACGTGTCACATTATTGATCTCAGATCTTTCTAATTGATGTTTTTTTAATGGAAAATGTCATACATTTTCATGTGGTATGCACTCTTGACGTCTATTACATTAGTATCAAACTTTTTTTTATGCCAAACCTAGATTTATATTTTAATATCGTATTCATACGAATGAGCTTTAGCAAGATTTTCTATAAAACGAAAAAGAACATTTAAAGAACGGTCGATAGAGGTTTATTTAGAAAGCCATTTAACGAGTGGTTACTTATCATTTAGAGGTAACCAATAAGCCCCTGATCGGCCGTTAACCATTAAAGTAATATAGATCATCATTATACGCCTTTTTCATTCAATTTGAATTACCTTTTAAAGTATATGATTCTCTAATACTTAATCCGGAGAGAGTCGAGCCAAATGATTCCCTAAATACCTTTAAATTCTTCTAGATTAGCCAATCAAAATATATTGCGGAAACTGATTAAATAATTTTACAGAAATTTGAGTTATCCGACTTAAAACGAATTTAATTAAGCACTCGAGTGTTGGATTTGTTTATATGACTTGCAATAAAATATATATTGTATGTGTATCCAAAGAATCATTAGCCGTATCAAATTGCTTAATTAATTAATAGGGAAATACGATTATGTTGTAACAAAAAAGAAGTTTATATATAGTATTAAAACATATCTAAAAAGAAGAAGTCACATCGAAGTTGCATTAGGCGGTCCAACAGCAGGTACAACCATCAAAAATCTTAACCGTGATCGCTCCTTTTGTTCATCGTACCAGTCAACATGAACATTTTCCATTGAGTCTGCACCACGTGTGCCATATTTTATGTTGCTTATGACTTATGAGCACCATTATACTCAATGATTTGGCAGCCAAAGTTAGGTCCGTAACTAATTTATTATTACTCTTAAAGTCACATTTGTGTTTATCTCTTCATCGTATATATATCTTTATTAAATCTTGTTAAATAATTAATCTATTTATTATTAATTGCATTAATGACTGGGTAACGTTTTTACATTGTTTCATCCAAACAGAAACAATTTCATAGTTAATTAGTCATTATAAAGTCATAACCACTAAAAATTAAAATTTTAAGAAGAAATGATCACAAAGAAAGATAGAAATGGTACTTTTCACTTTTTATATATATTTTGTTTTACCATATAAAAATCAAGGAATAAAATAAGAATAAAGAGTTGTATTGCGTTTTATCTTAATAACGTGACTGTCGTGTGGGTATAGGTAGGATTCAACATCATACTTCTCGATGTTCCACTTGGCTACTTTCGTGTTATCTAAATTTATCTACGTTTACACAAATGATATTGTGTATCAAAGCAAATTGTCTCACTAACCTTTTCTTTTCTATAAATTGAATTTCTCTTATCAATCTATGATTCCACCTTCCGCAAAACTTTATCGACTAGTTTGTAACAAATGATGAAAACAATTAAGTTATATTTTAACAAAAAGAAAACGTAAATTTATATCTTCATAAAAATATTTATGTGAAAATGTAATATCTATTTGAGCAGACTGAAATTAATTGGTCACTACTGAATTTTCAATTTAGAAAAGATTATATATACTAATAAAATACGTGTAATTTATTGGGAGAACCGGAGATCGACGGTCGAGATGATCGCCCAAGAATATGAAAATCGTGAAGATCGAGAAGGATCTAGAAGATTATCATATCTTAGTTAGAAATATTTATTTATCTCTAAAGTATAATTTACATTTATCATTATCATAGTTTAGGAAATTAGGTTTAATATTTATCTCTATATAAGAGAATGTATCTTGTATCATTATTCTTATGAGAGTCTATTATAATTCTTTCTAAACACTTTTGTGTTCTTTACTCTCATCAATTTATCATAATTTGCATATAGCTTTAAAAGGCATTCCTTAAAACCAAAAATTTACCATAAATATCAAAAACAAATTAAAACTGTATATTGTAAGAAGTACCATTAACATGTGTTTTAGAAAAGGCCGTCTAAAAGTTAAGGAAGATTTTCAAAATGAAAACTTCTTAAAGCACAAATTATAGTACTTTTTTAACTTTACGACTTTAGTGGTAGTTTTCAAAGCTAAAAGGGTGTATTAGAAAACATTTCTTGTTTAAATATCATTTGGATATTTCAACTTTCATGTATTGTTGTTGTTTGTTTTATCAAACTCAAATCATAATTTAAATATCTTTTGATATAAATATTCTACATTAAGTATCCAAATATTGTGAGAGTAAAACATTTTAGACTTTTGATGCAACTAGATTAGAACTCGGGTGATATGTATATAATGAAAAAAATTAAAAATTAAATTTATTCTCATAAATTTTAAAGTTTTTGATTGGTTTACTTGTCACGTTTTTTAATTAATATAAAGATATTGAATTTAATTTGTAAAAGTTATAGTCGAGCATAAGCACAAAAAAAGATATATACGTATATAACCATGGCCGGTTTGAACACATTCATACAAATTGTTGAACCTACCATACATATAAATTTAAACGTAATAAAACGAGAAAGCGTGTATATTACAAACGCTAAATGACGATAGAAGCAGTAAATATTAAACAAAAAACCCTGAATAACTTTTTAAAACAAATTAATTCGCAAACTTGACATAAACATAAACAAAAATTGTGTAGCATGTACGTGAATCATAAGAGACAGCCGGCGAATTATTTTCATAATACAGGAATATACTTTTGCCCGTCTCAATATTTTTTCAGAATACAACAAATATTTAAAAAAAAAAAAATCAGAACTAAATTATGTTATATCAAAATTAAAAAGTGTTTTTATTCACCTCAAACTTTACATATAATAACGTAGCTTCAATATTCAAATAAAAGATTTAATAAAACATCCACATGATTGCCAAATTTTACCTTCATTAAATAATGAATGTAAAATGGTAGATAAGTTTATTCATTTGTCATGCATGTTTTTAATACCATAGTTCTCAAACATATTTTTAGAAATTACCAATCTTTTTTTCCGAAAAGGATTGACCGATTTTCAACTAATTCTATCTATTGGAAACTTTAATCAATTTTCTATATATTTAAAAATAATCGCCATGTCGTCGAAATGTTTTTCGAAAAACTGTTGGTCAGAAAACAGAAAAACGATCGAAAATAGAAATTTTTTAAGTGATCATGTTATTATATCGATTGACATGCTACTTGTTATTACAGGCAAAATAACACACCAGTTAGTTACGATATTCTGCCACCATATTTTTGTTATTGTAATATTTCTAACACATTTGGTTATCTAGCCAATAACCTATTGACAATGAGTTCAAGTTTTAACTCCAAAACTGAGATTGGGAACGAACAAATCTTAATCAAAATCTTAATTCTACAAGCACCAAAATACAATGACATTTGAAAAATCTATAGTTTGATCAATTTGTTAAGACAGAGGAGTATGTCTAGTGATAAAATTATTGCTGATGTTTGTTATATAAATAAATAAGAAAGAAAAGACTTGAATTTTTTTTGGCATATTTCTTTTTTTGGATAATCTATGATTCCATTTTGGTTCAATATTTTCAGTCATTTACTAATATCTGCATATCGACTTTGTCAATTACCCTAAAGGTTGTTGTCACATCGTCTTTTTCTTGTGAATTATAAATCGTGAAATGTAGTAAAGAGGTTATCACATCAGTTGAGAGAACAACACGTTTACAAAGTTTTAAACATTTCATCCCGATCATCATAGCATACGGTGAAGCAAAATAATCAAAGTCTCTTGCATCTTTTTAACACTTTGAAATGAGAAGATGATACTTCGTGACACTTTAAGTTAGGCCACCTTCTTTTCATGTCCTTCAATATACAGAGCGAGACCAATTTTATTATTTTGACCTTCTACTGAAAAAACTATGGAAACTATTATTAATAAGTTTTCTTAAACCAAAATTGGGGATACTTTAAAAATCTTTTAGTATTAGGAAACGTATCGTTGTTCCAAGTAGGTAGGCAATAAAATAAACATCTCACTTGGAAACTTAGTTTTGAATGACTACATATGAAGAAACTCAAATTGATCACAAGAGTTCCAACGTCAATCAGTGAGTTTCTTGGGTACGTGTGAATATGAAATAGAATGAGTGTAAAATTGATGTTGATGAGTCATCGCTTGCTTTTACTGTCGTTTACCATTTCAAGACAGTCTCTTGGTAAGTGCAGATTAAAACATCACATGACTCTATCTACTCATATAGACACAGCCCGATTGTGTTGTGCCGTATGTTCCCATGCCACTTGTCACCATGTACCGACGTTCAACTTTCTCTAGTTTTTGTTTGTATCATTCTAATTTACTTAGTAGTCTTTTGCTTGCTCCTTGAGCATTTGTGTCCTTTATTATCAATTTTTGTCATCCCATGAATAAAATGTGGACGCAATTTTGTTCGAATAGATATCTTAGTGACTTAGTGTTAGTGTAGATTGATCCCAACAAAAAAAAAGAATAAGAAAAGAATTTTTTTTTTTATAAAGTATAAATAAGTTAAAGATGATGATATATTTTTTTGGGTAGGAAGTTAAAGATGGTGATTGGTGAGTGCTAGAGATAGTTCGATGTAAATGATATATCACAATATTATTAAGGAATCTTATTTTTGCAACCATGCGTAGCAAAGAGAATATGCCGCTAAAACCGCAGAAAGTTTTTACTAGCAGAAATGTAATTATGTAAGATCATAAGATTTTTAATGTAAAAGAAATCGCAACCATCCAATGGTAAACATAATTATGACATGTTGAAGCATATGCATTGTAAATATCCAACTTTTTAAGAAAGTTTCTTTTGAGCAAAATTAACGGTCGTTTTGTAACCCCCAAAAGTTTGGAATGCTGGCTTGTTTGAGTGGTGTGCATGTAATCTTCAATCTTCTTATTTTTTTGTGCAAATGCATTTTTTTTTTAAAAAAAATCATATAATCTTCATTCATGAGTTATTATTTTTCATGTATTACCCGATCTCACACGAGAAGTTTAATACATATGAGATTATATATTCACCATAAATTTATTCAATTTTAATTATTCTTCTTAAATGAGAAGTTTTTTATAAGATATTTTTTTGGTGCCCTATCTTAGTTCAAGAATATATAGTATTTTACAAGAGAACAGTAGTATACTAAAAAAGTACATGCATAGCTTTTTCATGTTTTTTGTTAAACATACATATAAATAGGCCATATAGGTTTTTATAATTCATCTAGACCATCAGATAATATTTTGAGACGTAAAGAACGTGTCAATAAAATGAACCATTGGACGACAACAAACTGTAAATTAAACGTATACAAAAAAAAAAAAAAAAAAAAAAAAAAATACGTATACTTACAAAATAGGGTGAATTAGCTGTATAACCAA